GGGGGGGGGACCTGGATGGGAAACCACCAAAGAGTTCTACGGTGGCAAGGTAAAGACCCCCAAGGGCTACATACCTGGGGAAGGGAAAGATAATGGGGGGAAGCAACCATTTTGGGGACACAGTTGTTACTTTCACTTTAAGGGAGAGTATAAAATGGCTGCCAAACAAGGACCATCCACTTCTCAAGAAATGGGAACTGAAACTTGTACCTTTGATCTGGCTGAGTCTCCAAACTCCCCAGTCACTCAAGCACAGGAACACCCCCCTGGGGAAGAATTACAAGTCAACCTCCTTTCTTGGTTAAAACTGGAAATGAGGAAAGAATTTAAAGCCATGTTACAGGAGTCTCAAAGCCACTCCCCCATACTCCCCCGCACCACAAAAGGTCCAACTATAGTGAGTGGGACTCTGAGTTGCCAGCTAAAAAGAAAAAGAAAAAAAAGGATGCAGAATTCCAAAGGGAACATAGCCCATTGCTAGATGACCAAGACTCTGATTCAGTATCCGAAGCCTCTGATTCACCCAAGGAAGAGGGCCAATTGTCAGAGGAGAAGGAGGACTGGGGCTGTGGCTCAGTGGCAGAGCATCTGTCTGGCATGCAGAAGGTCCCAGGTTCAGTCCCTGGCATCTCCAGTTAAAAGGACCAGGCAGTAGGTGATGTGAAAGACCTCTGCCTAAGCCCTGGAAAGCAGCTGCCAGTCTGAGCAGACAATACTGACTTTGATGGACCAAAGGTCTGAGTCAGTATAAGGCAGCTTTGTGTGTTCAGGTGATCCTTTAAGGAGGTGATTCCTGTGGCCCAGTCTAGATCCCCCCCCCCAGGAACTCTACAATAGCATGCTCCCAAAAGTCATTAGGACATTGGAACTAGCTTACACCCTGAAATAAAAGGAGGAAGAGGACTCCCTTTAGGATCAGACAAAACCATGCCCAAATCCATCACCAAAACAACAGGGGTACCACTGCCAGGAGCCTTCTTTAATATCATGAAGGCAGAGTGGGAACATCCAGCTAAGCCTAAGGCCACTTACCTGGCTTTTGGGAAATTCTATTCCTTTATTCCAGAAGCTTCAAAAAAGCTGAACCTTCGTGTAGTGGATGATCCAATCAACAGCCTGGCATTCACTTCAGTCCTCCCTATGGGGACAGATGGTCTGCCAAGGGAGAACTGTGACAAGCGTCTAGAGCAAGCACTGAGATGAGATTTCGAAGCATCAGTTAATGCCCTACGAGCTTCAGTTGCAGGTTCCTTATTTGCCCTACGAGCTTCAGTTACAGGTTCCTTATTTGTCAGAGCAGCAGTTGTCTGATCTGGCGAAGGCGGATAGTAGCATCCCAAAAGAGCTAAAGGATGAGCTAAAGAAGATTGCTCTTGCCATGGCCTTCACCGCTGATGCCACACTTGATGCAGTGCAACAATTGGCCAGAAGCATGGCTTGCAATGTCACACTGCGAGACATAATACATGGCTGAGAAGTTGGGATGTGGGCCCTTCAGCACGTGCAAAAGCGGCAGTGGTTCCATTCAAAGGCACCAACCTGTTTGGGGAAGGTTTGGAAAGGTACCTTATTGAATATAAGGATAAGAAAAAAGTTCTTCCCTCAAAGAAGAGAGAAGGGAAGACAAGAAGATATCTTCAGTTCTTTCGGGATGCTAAAAGAGAGACCAAAACCAGTAATAGCAGACTTTACAGAGGAAAGTGTCAATCCAAGTTCAGAAATGGCAGATCGTCCTCCTTCCCCTCGAAGCAATCCCACTATGGCAAGAATTGCACGTCTGATCAATATAGGAGCAATAGAACCAGTCCCATCCCTGGAAAGATCTCAAGGGATCTACTCTGTCTTCTTCACCATACCAAAAAAGAATGGGGATGTAAGAGCGATTTTAGACCTCAAATGGCTAAACAAACGAGTAGTTACCAAAAACTTCAAAATGGAAATGGCGAAATCCATTCTGACCTCCATTCAAAAAGGGGACTTCACGGCTTCCATAGATGACATTTTAGCCAAGGCCAAATCATACGATCTGATGGTGCAGACACAGGAGACCACAATGAAGGTACTCAGGGAGCACGGGTTCGTGATCAATCTGGAAAAGAATTCTTTCATCCCTGCTCAATCACTGCTTCATCTGGGAGTGCAGATTCACGTGGTGAGGGACAGAGTGTTTCTGTCTCAAGAGAGACAACAGATGT